AACCTCTGCCTAGGGATTAGCAGGCTATTATCTTTATGGAAGAAGACTGTACTCTTGTGGAAATGATACGTGGGTTCAAGCTGCTGACTTTTGGGGTTCGGAGCCAAGTACTTAACTGTTAAACCAACCAGGGTTTCTTAAGTGATGTTTAGTGGTTCACTTTTACCAAGGGATGTGTGTATAATTTTCGTTTCTGGATTAAGAGTTTAGTTTCGGTAAAAAAAAAACTCTTCAAACAGTTTGGAGGAAAGTGAATTCCATATGCATATATTTTCCATCTGTTACAACTGAATGTACATATCACAGCTTAGATAACTATGAAAATACTAAAATATTGTACTTCAATTTTAGTCACAGTTTCAAATATAAAGGCAATCTTTTTTTTTTTCCTATTGGAATCTTACTACAGTTGTAATTTTTATCAAATTATAAGTTTATGTGAATTAATATTGTGCCTCCTTTCTGGTTCTTTTTATATTAATTCATAATTTATTGTATGTGTTCTAAGAACCCTCATACTTTCAGTGTATTTTATTGTGTGCATGACAAAACTGAAACAAAGACAACTAACATTCAAGGTGTTCCCCAATTGTTTCATATTTCCTTTGAAGTATTCTCTTACATCGCTCAGTTCAAGAGGTGCTAGTATCGATCAATTACCCACCCATGGCCCATTCAGTAGTCTGTACTCTCTGAAAATACCATGGCTGCACTTCCTGATACCACTGGTTCTGTCCACAGTGCTCACCCTATCAAAATTATTATTGGACACTATTTGTACTCAGATTTGGCTTATTTTGTTCTGTGACTGGAGGGATTTTTCCTTCCAATGAACTCCAATGGCAATGGCAAGTGTGATGGCAAATTCTTGAGAATTCTCTAAAGAAGTCTCAAAGGAAATGCCCTCAAATGGATGTTTTCTTTTCCTCCTATGAATATCAATAAAGTCTTGCATGTTTTCCCTAATATTTAACTATATACTAACATTAGAGTTATTTGGGATGATTTTTTTTTTTCATTCTCTTTATCACATTGTGATCCTTGAAGGCATAGATTCCTATGTTCTATTCAAGAAAATATATAATGGCACCACAGGATACGAGCTCAACTGCAAGGTCAGTTTGAACTACAAGGTCAGTGGTTCAAACTCACCAGCCACTCCTCTGAAAGTCTATACAGGGTCAATATGTGTCTGAAGTGACTGTACAACACTTAAAAACAACACTTCAAATATCATAAGGACAGATTAGGACCTCATACATTATTACTGGAGTTCTGGAGTGGCATTGTAGGATAAGCACTCAAGCTCAAGGTTAGCTTGAATACCAAGGTTGGTGTTTCAAATTCATCAGTCACTACTTGTAAATCCTATAAAGAGTCAGTATGAGTCGGAACCAACTCGATGGCACTTAGCAACAACAACGTTACTACTTTGTTGCTGTTGTTGTTGTTTGCTGTGGAGGCGGTTCTGACTCATAGTGAACCTCTACAAAATCTCTGAGGCTGTAAATCTTTGTTGTTGTTAGGTGCTATCAAGTCAGTATACACTCATAGCAACTTTATGCACAGCAGAATGAAACACTGCCCAGTCCTGGGCCAACCTCGCTACAATTTCCACACTTGGGTCCATCGATGCTGCCACTTGGCCAATCCATCTCATTGGGGTTCTTCCTCTTTTTCTCAGACCCTCCACCTTACCAAACATGATATCCTTCTTCAGTGACTGGTCCCTCCTGACAATATGTCCAAAGTATGAGAGACAAAGTTTGGCCATCTTGGCCTCCAAGAAGCACTCTGGATGCACTTCTTCCAAAATGGATCTATTGGTTCTTTTGGCAACCCATGGCACTTCAATATTCTCCTCCAACACCATAACTCAAAACCATCAATTCTTCTACGGTCTTCCTTATTCACTGTCCAGCTTTCGCATGCATATGAGGTTATTGAAAATACCATGGCTTGGGTCAGGCACACCTTAGTCCTAAAGCTGACATCTTTACTCACCAACACTTTAAAAAGGTCTTGTGCAGCAGATTTTCCAAATGCAATATGTCATTTGATTTCTTGACTGTTGCTTCAAGTGTTGATTGATAGTTGATCCGAGAAGAATGAAGTCCTTGACAACTTCAATCTTTTCTCCACTGATAAGAATGTTGTTTATTGGTCCAGTGGTGAAGATTTTTGTTTTCTTTACATTGAGATGTAATCCATACCAAAGGCTGTGCTCTTTGATCTTCCTTAGTAAATGTTTTAAGTCCTCTATACTTTCAGCAAGCAAGATTGTATCATCTGAATATCGCAGGTTGTTAACAAGTCTTCCTTCAATCTTAATGCCATGTTTTTCTTCATATAACCCAGGTTCTCAGATTATTTGCTCAGCATATAGGTTGAATAAGTATGGTGGAAGAATACAACCTTGTCACACACTTCTTAAATTTTAAAACATTCAGTGTTCCCATATTCTGTTTGAACAACTGCCTCTTGGTCCAGGTACAGATTCCTCATGAACACAATTACATGTTCCAGAATACACATACTTCACAATGTTGTCCACAGCTTGTCATGAGCCATACAATCAAAAGCCCTTGCATAGTCAATAAAGCACAGATAACCATCTTTCTGATATTCTCTGCTTTTAGCCAAGATCCATCAGACATCAGCAATGATATCCCTCATATCATTTCCTCTTCTGGATTGAATCTCTGGAAGTTCTCGGTCAATGTATGCTTGCAGCCATTTCTGTACTACATTTAGTAAAACTTTAGTCGCATGGGGTATCAAAGAGATAGTCTGATGATTTCCGCTTTCCGTTGGGTCACCTCTCTTTGGAATGGGCACAAATATGGATTTTTTCCAATCAGCCGACCAGATAGTTGTCCTCAAAACTTCTTGGCAGAGATGAGTGAGTGGCTCCTGTGCCGCCTCACTTTCTTGAGAAGATTTCAATTTTATTCCATCAATTCTTGGTGTCTTGTTCTTTGCCAACTCCTTCAATGCACCTTGGACTTCCTCCTTCAGTATCATTGGCTCTTGATCAAATGCTACTTTTTGAAATGGCTGCTTTTAGGGGCACAGAAAGCCTCATCTTTCTCCTGCTGAACAGCTGGTAGTATTTTACTGCTAACCATGAGATTAGTAGCCCAATTCTTAACCACTAATTACTACTATATGTTCTTAATTTATGGATACATTTACATTTTCCTTATGAAAAATTTAAAAAGTATGTCTTTATTGAGGATTTCAAAAATTTGTTGATGTTCTTAATTCAGCTTTGTTCCTCTTGTATCCTAATTAGTATGCACTCAATAAACATTGAAGTCGTTCAACATAAAACTTTTGCTTTCTCACACTATATGGGTGCTGTGAGACAACATTTTAATTATGATAGAAAGTTATTATTAAAAGTGTTGGGCAGCACAAGGACTAGTTTAACTGCCATCCCAACATCCTACACAGAATGGAAGACAGAGTTTTGTTCAAGGAAATTGATTAGTCTGAAGTATCTTTAAAAAATTGTGTTAACCAGCTAAGTTCATTTACCCTAAAACATATTTTAAATATTTGTTTTTCTTTATACAATTCTATATAGTGGGGTCCTGGTGCGGTGCTGTGGATTAATGCATCAGACTGCAAATTCATTTTAACAGCAAGGTTGGTGATTCAAGATCACCAGCTGCTCCTTGGAAACCCTATACAAGGTCGCTGTGGGTCAGAATCAACTTGACAGCACTTAACAACAATTCTGTACAGTGGTAGAAATAAGTTAATCAAAAAGTTTGTTTAAAAATGCAACTGGTAAGTATTTATCTAGAAATTTCCTCTTAACCAAATTAAATCACTAACTCTGAAATGAATGAGAAATGGTAAAGTTCCTTATTCCACTCACTATCTAGAAGCCAGAGCAAACAAATCATTCCTAATTAAATACTTTTGTTCTCTTTATTTAAGAGATACATAGTTTAGATACAAAGAAATTGCACTTCTTGTTTTCACTAATAAACTATTGATATAAAATTAATGTCTGTGATAATATCACTTGACAAATGTGTCCTTTTTAAAATATTAATAACATATATTAAATTCATTTTAATGACTCCAATATAAGGATTTTAAGTGTTACTTGTTATTCTTACTGCATACAGCTTTGTCACTATCTATATTATTGAACATCTATAAACACATTTTAATACAGTTCTTTTGACAAATTACCAAAAGGTGTTTTAGGCTAAAAGGGTGTAAAATGTCATATTCAATCATTCAAGATATTTCAAAATATAAACTCAATCATCCCAACTGGAATATGGCTGAAGCTAAGAACAATAAAGCAAATAGCACAAACAAAATAATGACTAATTAAAATTTAATAACTATTCCTGGCTTTCTTATGCTTTATGAATAGTGGCTACCTGGTGTGGCAGTATAGGATAAGCACTGGACCTCAAGGTCATTTGAACTGCTAGGCCAGTAGCTCAAACTTACCACCTGCTCCTCGGAAACCCTATACAGGGTTGCTATGACTTAAACGCACTTAACAACAAAACATGTATTAAGTATTGATTTCTGAGTGATAATGCAAACAATGGTATCATCTCTTGCATTAGTGATCTAGGGGCACATGACTAAACAGAGAACTTCTTGTTGTGGTTACATGCTGTCAAGTTGGTTCTGACCTATATTGACCCTAGGTATTTGAGGAGTGGCTGGTGGGTTTGAAGCACCGACCTTTCGGTTCAGACTGATTTTGCAAACCAGCACATTAATCCACAGTGTCACACCAGGACTTAGGCAATTGTAAATATATGGAAGATTCGGGAAAAAATGGAAAGCATTTTTGTAAGAGTAGAGTCTTCAAAGATGCCTTATTAGAAGTTTAAATATTTTATTTTTCTTCATGAAAGTAATGAATTACTGGTTGTTAATGCCATTTAAATTCTGTTTTTTTTTTTTCCTTCCTTCCCATCTCCATCCTGCAAGACCACAGAACAAACATAGAAAGGTACCTGTTGGAAGAGGCACCGCTGGTTCTTCTTTAATGGAATGGGTTGGTAGACAATTCCTTGTGAGCACAATGTCATCAAGAGCAATATCACCATGGTGACCTTTTCCAACTCGACCTTCAAATTTGAGTTGGAAGTCTTCATCACCAAACAGCGGTAGCTCTTTCCTCTGCCAAAAATTGCCTTGTTCTCCAGTCAGGTTAACTAAAACCTTCGTTTGATTTGAGACTGATACTTGGATCAAGGTGAGTGCTCCAATGCCATTTCCATACATGTGATAGTGAAAAATGATCTGCAAGCAAGCATAGGAATATTATATATGATTAGCTCAATTTTACAGTATTTTCAATTATATCATATTTCCATGTGCTCATGAATATATTCCAGAAGGAAAATTAGGCCTGTATATGCTATTCCTCTGTGACCATGCTAAGATTGAATTAAGGTATTCCAGCCTTGGATTATGTCACATGTATGGAAGATGTATCAGTAAAGATCCAGCACCAATTTAGCAGAGAAAATTGAGCTGAGTTTACTTTTTCTGACACTTCTAAATGCAGGATTCCTTTAAAAACTCTCAAAGTTGGCTGTCAAATAAATGAAATACACCTTCCCCTGATTTATTAACTTATTATTGTTATCCAGCATTTCGTACTTACAACAGTAATAAAAAAAATCTACTATTTGACATTTCACATTACAACATGTTTCCAGTAAAGAATGCAAACATGCAAGGTGAAAGGTATGCTCATTATGATGGCTACAATTAAGTGTTAACTTGGCTGGACCATGATTCTCAGAGGTCTGGCAGTTATGTAATGGTGTAATTCTCCTCCATTTGATTACCTGATGTGGTCATACTACATTTTCACATAATGCCGATTTTCACTTTAACAACTCCATCTTTGAAAGATAACCATAGCAGCAAGTGACGAAAAGGTACATCATCAAATAATGATGGATTATATATATATATTTAAGGATTAAGAAATATCAGGGAGTAAAGAACATCATTTTCAATCTCATTAAACTAAAATCATTTTCTTTCAGATAGGAGGATATTATCTTGCTAATTCTACTATAAACTTGTACTTGAAAGTCATTTTCAGTTCTACAAGATCCTCAAGGCTCCACTATGCAGAAAAACAGCAATTAATCCAACTTTTACTTGAAGTGCTGGAAACAGGCTTTAGAATAGCAGCCCTGGGAGTTTTTCCCTGAGTAAGAATTAATAGAAGTATTTTTAGCAATTAGCATTTCAGTGTTTCAAGGATGAAATTTATCAATTTTTTAGTGATTGTTGCACAGCAGGGGAAAGTCAGGGAAAACTTGGACAGAAAAAGTAGTGCAAGTTAGGAACAATGGAGACTCAGTGACTTTTATAAAATTTCTGTCTTATGATTTGGTGGATGAAGGAAAACAGTAATGGTGGTTGTCTTAAATACCTGAAATACCACAAACAGATGGGTTTCAGAGAAATGTATTCTCTCACAGTTTAAGAGGCTAGAAGTTCAAATTCAGAAAACTAGCTCCAGAGAAAGGTCCTTGTCTGTAGCATTCATTAGAAAACTTCAAACTTTTTGGTGTCCATCATCCCCTGGAGCTAGGAGCTTCACAGGGCAGGAACCACAAGTCCCAAAGAAGGACTCCACTACTGACTTTTTTTTCTTAATGGCAATAGGCCCATCTTGCTCTGCTCAATTTTCTTTCCTTTTATCTTTTTAAGATGAAAGATGTTGCACAGCACACCATCAGGGAACTTCCTTTCATCATGGAAGTAAATACATTGTATGAGATGTCTTCATGAGTGCTTACAACATCTTAACTCCTAAACCACTGAGAATCCAGAGGTCCACAGTATGGTTGCTGTTTACGATGTTGAGAAAAAAGGTATTTGCAATGAAGAAATCATTGGACTTGCAAGATTGTTTTTAAAAAGTTTTTATGGTGAATTGAGTGATAGTTTACATGGGAGAGCATCAGTTTTACACTCAGCCGATCATATTATGTTTAATTGCAATTATTACAGTCCCTCCATGCATCATCATTCAACAGTATGTGCTTCTATTCCCTTTTTTTTTTTTTTTTTTTTTTTAAGTACACAAAAATATTCAGGAATATATAACCATTTAAACAACCAAAGGGTACATTCTACATGCATGCCTCCTGGACGACAGCACACAGCCTTTCCCTATCCTCAGCTAGTCTAGAGTCCTCAGCTGCACTATCTCTCCATTTTATCATCTCTGCCTCCATTTCTGGTGTTGCTGTTTCCCTGGATAGGGTCCAACATCCCGCTCATGCTCTTCTCTCTTGATGGTCCTGGAGTCCTCTGTTCCCGGACTGTAAAACTAACTATTTCCCACTTTATGTTACAAAAAGTCTACCTTTACAGTTGTGACAATAACAATTAGTCATAATAACAATTACTGAATCCTAAGAATCTTATCCCCATCTCCTTTCACCAGACCCATCTAGACAAGATGAAAACTATTCAGTGAGGGTTCTACCTTCCCCCTGTAAACCTGAAACTAAATTCCCTCTTGAAAACTTGTAATCCAGTCACTTTGTGCCTTTATAGTCCCAGTCCCCCCCGTTTTAGGTAGCCAATGTCTAAGGTGTCTGTCCCTATAAACCCTGTGAACAGAGGAGATGGAGTCCTGGTGTGGCACTGTGGGTTAATGCCCCAGACTGCAAAGCCGTTTGAACAGTAAGGTTGGTGGTTCAAGCTCACCAACTGCTCATTGTAAACCCTATATAGGGTCATTATGGGTCAGAACTGACTGAACGGCACTTCACGACACCACCATATAGGAGATAGGATTGATCCTTGATGTAAAGATTTTTTCCTTCTCAGATGGTATTTTGAGGTACTACATCAGTAAGTGTAGGTCAAGTTCATCAAATTGTAGCAATTTACATTTGTTTCCTTTATCAATTCTTTTTTATCTTCTTTTAGTTCAGATGTGATCAGCAAGCCATAAAAACTACATTAAATGAGTACTATCTGCAAGTTTAGGTGTTCTTGTGTGTCTCCCCTCACTTCATATCATCTGGACGCTCCACTCTTGGCTCTAGAACTCGGTGGCTATGTCCTTGTCCATGGGTTCAAAAGTCCCCAGGTCTCATCATGTTTTAGACCAACAAGACCTTCCTCTTCTCTCTGTCTTCTCCAGGTCCATGGGAGTCTATGTAACATGGTTGAACTCAGCCCATAACTTCCTTGCTGGCTTTCCCCTTTTCCACTCACCAGGAGACCAATGTGGTCACAAGCAAGCTTACATGCCTGCTCATGTGTTCCCTTTGAGTTACAGTCTTAGAGGGAGGTTTGTCCTGAAGAGACTTAATTGTTTGCCTTGTTGGCTCCCAGGCAAACAACTTACTTTTTTTGGCAGTAGTCAATCAGATTGCCATTTTTGTTGTGGATTTTTCCTGATAGTCTTTCTTTCAAGAAGTATCTTCTGTTCCTCTAGATGCTCCAGGCTGGTCTGCTTGTCATGTCCAATAGGAATGACCCACCTCAGAAGGTTCTGAATGGGGTTCAGGATTCTACCTAAAGGTCCTATATATTACAAAGGATCCATAAGAAGCCTATTTTACTGAGCAAGTTCTACAAATCCATTTAGGTATTTGGTCTTGCAAGATTTTATCATGGGATTTCCAACATCCTTTCTACCACCAAGACCATATTTTCCAACTACTGATCCTTCATCTTTGTTTCCAACTTTCATATTCCAATAACCAGTAATTATCAGATCATATAGATCACAATTCTGTTCAATTTCATATTGAAGAAGTTGGTACAGTGGTTGGTGTGTCAACCTGAATAATAATCATACTAGCTGGTTTCCTTTTATTGTTGTTAAGTGCCATTGAGTCAGTTTCAGTAACAGCGATGCTGTATGTTTTTCAGTGAGCAGCTGGTGGGTTTGAATCATTGACCATGTGGTTAGCAGAGCAATGCTTATCCAACAGTGCTACATTAGGACTCCAAAAATTATTGCTTGAGTCCATTTATGTAACATTTTCAAGTAATGAACCCTTCCACATTACTATCAAGTCATTTCCAAACTGTGTAGGGTTTCCAAGGCAGTAAATCTTTGCGAGAACAGAAAGCCTCCTCTCTCTCCCAAAGAGTAGCTGCTGGATTCAAACTGCTGACCTGGCAGTTAGCATCCCAATACACAATCCACTACGACACCATGGCTCCGGTCTTCCTTACAGCCATACAGACATTATCTTGTCACAGATAGTATTGTACTTTTCATGATAGACCTTGAAATGTTCTTTTTGACTACGAATGCAACCCATTCCTCTTCAATTTGTCATTTGTTGAAAAGTTTTCTTTTTGAAAATGACTAAGACACCATTTTTGTTCAATTTGTCATTCCCAGCATACTAAACCATAGGACTATCACATTCAAAATGGTTGATAACTGTTTACACTTTATCTCACTAATGAATAGGATGGGAGTGTGGTGACTCCCTTCAATGAGCACTGGGTTGTGAACCACAATGTTCACAGTTCAAGCACACCAGCTGCTCCATGGGAGAAAGATGAGGCTTTCTGATTCTGAGAACACGTGAGGCTTCTGAAACCCTATACAGGGTTGCTATGAATGGGAATCTACTTGATAGCACTTAACACAGCAACAACAACGAATAAAATATTGATTGATCTTTTTGTGTTCCATTTAATTCTTGATGACTTCCAATTTTCCTTCATACTTTGAACATTTCAATTTTTGATTATTAATGGGTGTTTGTAGCTGTTTCTTCTCTTTTTGAGTCATGCCCCATTAGCAAATGAAGGTCCTCAATGCTTTTGTCAATTCAGATCATTAAGACTGACTCTGCTTTGAAGAAGCATCTCTACTCCAGTCATATTTTGAGCACCTTCCAATCTAATGGGCTCCTTTTCTCATACAATATCAAACAATGTTTAGTTGCTATTCATAAAGTTTGCAGTGGCAAAGTTCTCAGAAGCAGACCACCTATTTCTTCTTCTAGGTCTGTCTTAGTGTGAAGTTCCAATGAAACCTGTCCTCCATGGGTGATTCTGTTGGTATCTGAAATCACAATGGTATAGCTTCCAGCATCACAGCAACACAAAAGCCAGACAGCATGACAAACCAACAGGTGAATTACTAGTCTAAGATCCAAAATTGTTTCTTCTGCTGTTAAAATCTTCCAAAACCAGCTCTGTAACTATTGGGAATGGTTTGGGAGGTCTGATGAAACTTGCATGGCATGAGTAATTCATGTGATAAACAAAATGGTACTGGGTCATCC